GGGGGCAAAGAAAAAGCAAGAATTTATTGGAATCGAAGAATGAACGTTTTGCGGTGCTGCAAAATGCTTGCATTTGATGCGGTACTTGGATTGTTTTGCCACGAGTTCCCGGCATGCAATGCGCGAAAGTCATGTGGTCTGTCAATCTCTATAGGCGAGGAGATTACATAAAGATAAAGGTTGGTATTATAATGATTTCAGGCATTCTGACATTTGTAGTAAGTGTATGGCCTTCAGTGAGCTGCTATGGCAAAAGGTTTCAAAGTTAGCTGCACAAAATTATTACTACTATTAAATCTGACTTTTAGCTCTTAACATACTCTTACCAGTGAAATGCGGTTCATTCATCTCAGTTTAATAATTAATAATTTCCAGTTTAAAAAAAGAAAAAAAGAGTCAAACAACTGACTTTACAATATTTTGGATGAATTCTCTCTTTCTTTTCTTTTTTGCAGTCTGACAGAGGACTTTGCTACACATTCAGCATTTCATGCGGAGCTAAATGAGCAGATCTGACAGACCCGTAGTTTTCTGTGAATCAAAGCAGGTTCTTGACAGTACGGTCTTCTCTGTTTGTACCAGCATGTTTGGCTCTTACTTCAAAGGTTGAAAGACCTCAGTATCATAGCAGCTCACAAGATGCAAGTCAGTGAGGCAGGAGTGCAGGGATAGGTGGTATGTATTAGGAAAAAAACATCTTTTTGCATCATTTATAGTCATGGGATTGGGAGCTGATTTCTTCAAGTCAACTTCCACTTGAAACGTTCGGCGCTGTATTATATAAATATCCGATTAAATTTTTACATTTTTCCTCTCTTACTGTGAAAGAGGAAGAAGAGGGATCACTTATGTCTCACTTTTGATTAATTAGAGATTACAGTTGTACTTTATTGTAGGATGCATGCTTGAGACTACAGAGAGCAAGGTCCAATTATCTTACTGTGTTTCTTACAAGTTGGTTGTTGTTAATGATTTATTTGCGGTCCAGCAAAATCATTGTTATTCTGAATTATTCCTATAGCAGTAAAAGTGCCCCGCCCCACCATTTATGGAGTCTTGCTCTCGTAAAAAGTCCATTTAAATGTAAATAAACTTTTGCTGTGCAAATATTTTGCACATACTCAATGTACACATTCAGCAAGAACAGGATGTGTTAGTTTGTGTTATCTACATGGTGCATGGTGTATGTGTAAAAGAATCTTTGTCAAACTGTCTCACCAGATACGCTCAGATATATCAGATAAGGTAGGGCTGTGCGATATGACAAAAATACCATATCCCGATATAAGACATTTATCGTCCTGACAACGATATAAATCACAAAAATGTAACATTTTCTGTAAATTCTGTGAATCTCGGGCAACTCAACTTGCGTTTAGTTTTTCCAGCTGGTCGTCTTTTACCTGGATTCGAGTGTTTTAACCGATGCATGAAACTATACATTTTTAGACATAAGTTGTAACGGCCACCATTTTCTTTCAAAGTTTGAGTCTAAAGTTTGTTTGTTAGCACATGACGGCTCTTTTTTTGCTTCTCCTCCGTAAACTCTTACAGATACTCATACTCTTTCACATGATTCAGTTTACTTTGAAAAGTCAAGGGATCTTGAGCTTTATTGTGAAAGGTTTACATGGAAAACAAACAAGCGGACAGCGGAGCCACGTGATAGTTTTACCGTCATTGTTGCTAACGGCAACACGTAAAAACAGGCGCTTGTCCGTCCGTAGTGTGGTTATATTAAATATAAGAGAAAGAGAGAATTTAAGAAATTAATATAGCCACTACAGTGACCATCAAAACGATGAAAAAATATTGCCGTAAACAGTTTATTTTACGACACCACAAAACAAACGATAGCGTAAAATGAAACGATAGACATTTTTATATCGTCACCCGATATATATCGTTATATCGAACACAGCCCTAAGATAAGGTGTCAGACGTGTGTGCGTTTTGTGGAGCACAGTGCAGCAGACAAAACAGATATATTTGCATCCTTGAAAACCACTCCTGCCTAAGGTACGTATGTTGAAAATACAGACATTAATTGACTATTTACCATTTTTAGGACCATTGAAAAACAATCACAAGCTCTTATATGCTTTCAGTTGTCTGGTTTGCTTGTTATTTCACAGCATACCTCTGATGGAGCTGCTGGCTGACCATGGGGGAATGGTGTTTCGCCTCTGGTAGAAAAGGATGTAAGCACCCCTTGTGCACACTTCCTCATCTTGCACCAGGTCTACGCTGCTGTCGTCGTAGCTATACCACTGACCATCCACTGAATTCCTACAGTAAGCTGGAATAAAAAACAGACAACAACGGTAAATAATGTTTTTCTCGCATAATTGTTATCAGAAAATTGCATGCAATATGGAGATTAACTCATTTTTCCCCTAAAATGCCTTGGGAGGTCCATAGCACATAATCTCTTTGCTGCCTGTAAATACAGTGTACATAGAAAAGCTTCATATTTAAATGTGAGTTGTATTTTCCTCCACTGCAGAGACTATTGATAGTGTACGTTTCTCAGCTTGTTAAAGCAGCAAGACAGAATACATCAAGGACCATTCCTGGACCCATGGAGCTGCTCTCCAGCTACAGTTTCTTGTTGTTCAGGTGCTATTTTGATTTATTTTAAAAATGTGTTTAAAGATGCTGTAATTTTTTTTCATTCCAGTAAAATCAGATCAATTTTATTTATTTTTCTTAGTTAAATGAGGGACACCACCACAGATTGTGTTATTGTGCATAACACAATTGTGCATAACACTGTTGGACTCTCAGGTAAAAGAACCAGGACAGGATGCAAATGTAAAGTGGTAGCTGCCATGGTGAAGACCTGCTTTCTCCTAATCTCCAGTTGTCACTTCTATTTCTGAAAATTAGGTACGAGTCTTCAATTTTATTGTTGTATTTCAAATGTAAATTTGATTTATTGCAGAGTCCGCCATATTGAATGGTGCGTATGTAATGTTTTGTATTGATTGTAATGAAATTGTGCATGGTCCAAGGAGCTTGCAAAGAAAGGCGTCTGGACTTCTTTAAGTTGCTAGAAGACGTTTCACCTCTCATCCGAGAAGCTTCTTCAGTTCTAAGGTCAAATGGTGGGGAGTCCCAGATTTAAACCTAGTGGGAGTATCACCCCATAGAGGGACAAAAGGACCCCCTGATGATCCTCTAATCGCCTGAGCCAAGGTGTGAAACTGGGTGTGGGTCCCAATCAGCCAGGGTTTCGGGTGAGCTCATTGTGAAACCTGGCCCCACCTTATCATGCGATTTCCTGAGGTCAGATGGCCCAGGATGTGAGTGGGCATTAAGGCGTCTGGGGAAGGAACTCAAAACTGGATTATAGATGGCAGAGAGTTGGTGTGGTAAGCCCCGCCCTCTGTCCTCTCTGTCCAAAATGTGAACATTGGCATCCTCGAAAGAGTGTCCTTTATCCTTAAGATGCAGATGGACTGCTGAGTCTTGTCCTGTGGAGGTGGCTCTTCTATGGATTCTCCCAATGGGTTTAAATCTGGGACTCACCGCCATTTGACCTAGAACTGAAGAAGCTTCTTGGATGAGAGGTGAAACATCTTCAAGCAACTTAAAGAAGTCCAGACGCTTTTCTTTGCAAGCTCCTTTGACTACGATGACCTGGATGACTGAGAACCTTCACAGAAAGAAATTGTGCATGTTATTTACATTTTTAATGAAAATAAAGATTAAAAATAAATAACTAAAAAGCTGTCCTGCTAAGGAACAGGACAACTTCACTGCATTGAGGAGCCAATGGGTGGGGCTTTATACCGTAAAATCTTGGACAACCTCCTTTCCTCAACCAGAAAACTGAAGCTATGCTGGAAGACCTGTCCACGGCCTAATAATGACCCAAAACATAATGCCCAGGTAACAAAGAAGCATATCAGAGTTATGTAGATGCCTAGCCAGACCTCAGTCCTGTAGAAAATCTATGAAGTGAGCTGAAGCTTCGAGTTGCAAAGCAGCAGCCAAGAAACCTAAAGGATTTGGACAATTCTGCAAACCTGGTGACCATCTACAGGAAATGTCTTATTGCTGAGTTTGATAACAGGGGTTTCTCCATCAAGTACTAAGTCATGGTTTGCTTGGGGATTAAATGCACATTTAAATCAATGGCATGCAAATCAATTTAGGTGCTTGTGCAATGTACATTGTGGTTTTTTTCTTCTTTTGATGGTTTTCAGTCTCCAGTTAAAATGAAACATTGAAGACTTTATTTTTGTTGTCAGTGAGCAAACTTACAAATTCAGCAGGGGAATTAAGGAATTATTTTTCCCCCGACTGTACATAGACTAGACATAGACTGTACATGTTATTTTACTAATGGGGAGCCACCCATTAGTAAAATAACATCATTCTTATCAGACACACGTAGTTTGAAAATCCTCCACATACTGACAGTCTAAATGGCAGCCTGGACAGTACCTGAAATTGGAAATCCATCCCACATTTAGGGACTCACTTAGCTACTTGCAATTACTGTGCACAGGACTATTGGGATGAACCACAGTTCACTGAGCTGAGGATAGTAGAGACCCAGACTGCTGGAGGGTTGTATCAAAACATTTCATTTAAAATTAAAACACTAAGCAGCACAGAGCAGTTTACTTTGCTGAGGTATTGAGTATGACAGATGGGCTTAGACTTTCTCAAAACTGATTGGTCAAAAGCATCTGCCAAAGAAGACGGGATAACTCAGTGTAGCATGTTATTTGTCATTGAGAGATCTGAACTGTCATTTGAAGTGAAAAATGGTCTTCCTTGTGGAGTTAGCATTCTAGCTAAATCTGGTCCCTGTTGTAATACACACACACACACACATACACACACACACAGACTAATTTTCATATCTTAGTGAGAACATCTAATTGACATAATGCTTTCCCTAGACACTTACCCTAACCATCAAAAATGAATGCCCTCAGCCTAAACCTAACCTAATTGTAACCCTGACACTAAAACCACATTTTGAGCCTCAAAAATGCCTTTAAATGCCTTCAAATTTGTGAGGACCGGGTTGTGTGTCCTCACAAGTGACTGTTGGTTCTCACAAGTATAGTAGAATGCAGATTTCGGTCCTCACAAAGATAGCTAGATAGGAACACACACGTGCGCACTCACACACACACACACACACACACACACACACACACACACACACACACACACACACACACACACACACACACACTTTGTATATATCCATATTATGCAGTAACTTCATTTGTGTGGATGTGCCAACTGCATGACAGAAGAGTGTGTATGAAAAGCAATAAGAAGACGTCATTGTTACATACCAGTATAATGTCCTCCATGCATTCCTCCGTGATGGTTACACACAGCATAAAGATCATACAGGAATTCATGAGGAAGCATCATGTCAGCAGCTTGGTGTGGTTGGCCTGAGTGCTGTTTCCAGGAAGGTGGTGATGGCCCCATATTCAGGTTCTTCATGCTCTGGCTTCGCTTCACTACATGCGGTGCCATGTCCAGACCAGTTAGAGGGAAACGCACGAGTGTTGACAGCTTGTTCCTTCGTTCTCCAACCTGTTTCAAAAATCATTATTCATACATACAGTCCATACACACCATTATGTTTGCACATTTTTGTACTTTAAATACTTGGAAATAATTTTTCTTTTGCAATTCTCAATAGTAATGTGCCAATTACTATTTTTGCCTATTGGCAAAGGCTTGACTGATTCTATATCCACTCTTTTGCTGTGACAGGAACAGCAGGGACCCTATCTACAGAAATGTATGACTGATTGATTTACAAAGTATTGTGTTGATTATAGTTACAATGGAAAACAAAATGTTAATTTCCTTAAAGATGTGTTGTGTCTAGAAAGTGATTTGAGGGCACCTGCGGCAAGCAGTATGAAGTTCACAGGGCATACACCAGTGTACCCAGTACAATGGCTCAACAATCACCTTTCAACATGAGAGTGATGAAAAGCATTCAAGCAAGAAAATGCTTGAGTAGCTTTACAATAAGTATTGACTGTTCTGAGTGGTGCAGTAATAAAATTTCTAAAACTTACGAGTCTGAACACAATTTTAAGATATTTCAGCTTTGGGTATGTAATTTATTTAAAAAATTTAAAACATAAATATTTTTGTTTCTCTGTTATTTTAGAGTCTTTACCTTACAATATAAAGCACCTTGAGGTAACAGTTGTTGTGAAATCAATCTGAATGAAAATGAATTGACCAAAACATACAGCGAAAGCTGGTCAGGAGATTTTTGAAAGTAAAGTCAGTACTTTTAATGACCAGGTCTGTCACCTGATCTCACTGAGCAGTGGCTGAAGACAAAGTTAAAAACAGAACAGCTCGTGAGCAAACAATTGGAATCAACTGCAGTAAAAGCTAGAACTACATTTAGATTCACAAAGCTCTACAACAACAAGTGAATATGCAGGCAAATATTACTCTGTTAGGAATCTGAACATCTACAAAAAGATTCAAAAGTAAAACTAGCAAATAGCTGCCAAATGAATTAAACGGCAAATAAATAAAGACAAACTATTTGCATATGTCAAAGAAACATAAATGAATTCTGCTTTTACTTACTGCCAGTTTTATTCCAGAGGCTCTTTAGAAGTAACCAGAATCAGAAAACAAAAGCTTTAGGTCAGTAAAAGAAGCGCCCAGCAGTTTTCTCTTACATGCTTGTGATTCAGTATGGATTTTTTATTCAAATCACTTTTTAGTATAGAAGCTTTCCTACTGAGATTGAATCCTTATCATGATGGAAGGCCCTGCATAACCCCCCAACCTTAGAAATTGTGCTGTGCATATTACTGGCTCTGGTCTCTGATGCTAAGCCGGTGCTTGGTACAGATTTTGGCAGACTGACTGACTGAATTCTAATGCAGAGAGAAAAGGTGTGTCAGTCAGGAACTCCAAAATCAGGATCTGATACTAGAGTTTTTGAAGAAAGGGTCTCATGTGAGGTGATCAGCAGGGCTTAACTCATGGGGCCTTCCCTCTTTCTGCTTCTTTCTTTCCAAGCAAAGTGTAAAAGCCTGAAGTCTGACTTTTTGTCCTTGGCTCTGGACAAGAGCTGTGGTGCCTGTGACACAGCCCACATATACTACTTCCCTTTGTACGTGGAATAACAAAAGAGTTTGAAATTGAGCAGGACAACAGGAAGTGATTTGTTCATGGAGGCAAGTGCATGCTTTGATAGAAAATGGGACACACAGACAGGTGTTAGAACTGATGTTTGTCCAAATCTGACATGGAAAAATGTTGGACTTTTGAAGTGGACGAAGGATAAAGTGAGTGAAATTAACCCACAACTAAAATTGGTATTTTGGCATTGTATTATACACTAAGAGGTGCTGTGTAAGTCAGAGCAAAATAATTAACCATGTTGCTAATGTCATAACTAAAAGAGTTTATTGGGGAATATATATCACACAGGTGTCAGGGGGTTCAACCTGAGCAAAGTGCTAAAAACAGTGTGCAGCCTGACAGCAAAAATTCAACAATTTTGTGAGACAAAAGGCAAAGGACATCCAGAACTGTCAGATGCATAATGGAAAGCTAATGCTGCGTTTGCTGTTGATGTGACTGTCCTACCTCAGCTTTAAAGCACTTGTTCAGGCCAAAAACAGACTAGATCTCTTTCACTGAACAAGAAGAAAGAACTGAAAAACGTCACATGAATACATGAAACTACAAGTAAGATGGCAGTACAATATATTCTATAAAGTAAAATAAAGTTTAGGGTATTTGAAATTTAGCAAAAACATGCACATTTTGCTCACAGTTGTTTTTGAGAAAATTGATTAAATTGATAAATTGTCTTAAAATATTGGTGTTTTTAACTATACCTCTTTTACATTTTCATTGCCTAATTGTAACATCTGCTCTCATCAGCAGCAGTTTATAAGATTAATATTGAGCATAAATGAGTCCAGCTTATTGGTGCAGCCCCCCACAGCAGTCCCAGTTTCTCAACATTCGACAGTTCCAGGTAAGACCCGTAATGACTGTGAGGAATTATTATGTTCAGCAAGGCGGTATTAAGCACTAATGTAAAATATTACAGCACTACACTCCGGGGAGTGTGCGGAGCAATTGTACAGATTAAGTGAAAAGAAAAATCCCATCACTACATAACTTCTTACATCTATTCTATCCACGGAGGACATAAATGAATAGGCTGGGTCTCAGGAGCATATTGGCACATATGAAGTGAAAGGATCTTCAGGGATGTTCATGTTTTTTGGCATTAATGCTATACTCAGTATATGGCCCATAGGGAAAATTAATTTGGCTTCTGGAGAAAAAAATAATCATTATAAAATTGATTTATCAGTCATTTCTGTGTGTTAGGATATGTTATTAAATGTGGCAACAATGTTTTTTTGTTTTTAAGCTCCCATCAGCTTGGCATGTGTTTGCAAATGTAAGTGAAAGTTGACGAACTATTGTAAACTCTCTGTTAAAAGATTGTTTGTTTGTTTATTAAATTTGAAGTTTCCTAAAACCATTAGTTGTGTCATTGTGACTTAAACTTGTCCTGGTCAGGGCCATTGAAAAAAACAAAGTGATGGCTTAAATGAGACCAGATTAGTTAAGTAAAGGTTAACAAATGCTACCATTTTGTTAACACAAACCAGTTTGGTCAAGTTTCTCCAAAACACAGGGAGCCTTTTCAGATCACGGGATATTGTTTGTTAGCTGTGCTGGAAAACAAGACGCTTTCCTAATGTGGCAAAAGTTTAATTGTTATGCACGCTGGTAACATATCCAAGCTTAAATATAGTAGTATTACTATGTTACTAAAAAGATTACCGTGAACCAATTACGAATAAAAGGTCGCATGTTATGACCTTACAGTGTTAGGCATAGCAAACATAGCTGCTGCAACAAAATACTGACAACTTACAATGTGTTCATTAAAACTCAGAGAAGCAAACATCTAAAGAAAAGGGCAGGGTTCACTTGTGAAACAAGGAACAAGAAGAACCAGGCATATGAAGGGATACTAATGAGTCTCCTGTGAAAGCAGCCAGGATTCGTGTCAAGGGTTTTTCAAATGTTTAATTACAGGGAGACGCACAAACGAAGTCGAAACCTAATTTCTATCTGTAGTCCCTGAGCAAAAAAACACTAGTGATGGGTCAGTTATAGCAAAAAGGCATGGTTTATTTTAACCCGGTCATGGCAGGAGATTCAGTACAACTGAAACTGGTGTGCATACCCAATGACCTCAGCTAGGGAAATGACCTACACACTCTAAAGCCTGTGCTGAATTACTATGAAATTGCAGTACGGGGATGAGTACTGGGAAGCTACCATGTGAACAGATGGGAAAAAACATAATAATAAGAGACTCCACCAGACAGCAAAAAGGAGAAAGCAGTGATCTATCTGATTATACCAGGTGTGGGGAAAAATATGGCCTGGCGTACACAGTGAGAAAGATTCTAACCACGGCAGGCCTCTAGGAATGAGCCATCCTAAAAGCATATATCTGTATATCTGAGGCTGAAAAAGTCTGTGGCTGATCACTAATTCTTCTTTATTTCACTCCCTTTATGTGTCATCTGCCTCCATCTTACCCCACACCTTCTGTAACACCAACCCTTTGCATGTCCTCTTTCAGTTTTCATTTGTTTTTTTTCCTGCATTGATGTACAACATCAGAATGTTTCATAAAGAGTGGTTAGAAAGTACCAGCAATTAATTTGTGTGGCACATTGGCTTTCATCATAGTTGTTTTCACTTGCCTTCTTTCATGTTCTTCCTTTCAGTAAACAGTCAGAATTCATAAAAACACCACTTTTTATCTTTTTTGTTGTTGCCATGGCTCTAAACAAAGTTTAGTTGAGGAAGAGAATGCATAGGTTTGAATCCTTTTTAACTTTCCAGACTGGGATCTCCCAGGATATTAAAGAACTTCACGGTGGCAAGGTAATGGGGTGTGGGGGATTTAGACCGATAATGATAATACGTGTTTGGAATAATGCATGAAGGCCAGAGAAAGGTGGGGTGTTGGTTTTAAAGAAGCAGGCCACGAGGCATGCTTCAATGATTGTGACATGGCGCTTGCCTATCTCACTAAAGAGGAAAGGGGGATGGAAAGAAGCTTACTGTGTATAGTTTTTCAGGCTGTTGGGGATCTTTCAGTTTCTATTTGGGTATTGACTGCTTTTTCTCTCATTTTCATTCCAGTCCTTGCCTTTTGGTTTGTGTTTTAAGCCACTTAGCACTGACCTATAAATCATTCAAGCATAAAAGACCCGTTGCCACTGATTTTCAATCCATACCTCAGCCCATTTCTCCCTGTTTCCCTTTCCTCTTTGACTGAGACCATTTTTGATTATGCTTCGACGAACATTAGCTGGATCAACAGAAGGGTTAGATGCATCACTGCATCCATCCATTTTTTTTAAGGACTTGAATTTCATGACTTACTGATAGCTTTTTTGGGAGGGGGGGGGGGGGGGGCACTAAGGCCACTTTTGTCTTTTAGCCCACTTTTGTCTTTTTTTTCCCTTCCGCTTGTCCAGTTTCCTGCAGATCATGATGAGATATTCTTTAAGTTTTCAGCTAACAGCTCTTTAGGAATGACTTTGGTGCAAAAACACCCTGTCAAACTTTGTTATCTTTTGCATTTTTCATAGATTAAATTAAAGCAAAAGAAACAAATTGTGGTTGTTTGTGGCAGGCTGGTAGTAACAAAGTGCTTAAAGATATGATATAACCGTGGCTCAGGGGGTTGGGAAGCGTATCTGTAACCGGAAGGTCGTTGGTTCGATCCCCGGGCTTTCTGTCCTGGTCGTTGTGTCCTTGGGCAAGACACTTTACCCTACCGCCTACTGGTGTTGGCCAGAGGGGCGAAATGGCAGCCTCGCTTCTGTCAGTCTGCCCCAGGGCAGCTGTAGCTACAACTGTAGCTGCCTCCACCAGTGTGTGAATGTGAGAGTGAATGAATAGTGGCATTGTAAAGTGCTTTGGGTGCCTTGAAAAGCGCTATATAAATCTAATCCATTATTATTATTATAAAATTGGTTCTTTGCTAAATTGTCTGCTATGTGTAGACACAAAAATGGTTTATGCCTTGAGTTAAGTGCCTTTTCATGCTTGAATGACACACAGGTCACTGTTACGTGGCTTAACAACAACAACAACAACAAAAAGTCCCCTGAAGATGGTCAGGCACAAAAAATTTTCTGGGACTTTTATACTCTTGCAAAAATCAGTCCATAAAAGGCCAGTTTTATTCTCTCTAATATCCAATCCAACACTGGGCCATCAAGAGAAACTGTAAGCACAATAACAACAACAACAAACTTTATTTATAGAGCACATTTAAAAACCAGCGGTATACCGAAGTGCTTAAGATAAGAGACAGAGAAGTAACACGAGTATTATAAGGCCTTAGCAAAGTATCAAATATACTCACAGGTCAATGCCACTAATACACAGGGGTAATATGAAATGCATATCAAAATAAAAACATAATAAAAGCACAAGCCATAAAAATATGTATAAGGAAAAATAGAGTAAGTCTAAAAGTCAAGTGCAAGCATTAACAAGCAGGAAAGGCGAGATTAAACAAATAGGTTTTTAACCGTGATTTAAAAGATTGGATGGAATCGGACGCCCGGATCACAATCAGAAGGTTATTCCACAACTCTGGTGCAGCCAGGGCAAACGCCCGGGCACCTCTAGACTTCAGCCGAGATCTAGGCTGCACCAAGAGTAACTGAGTAGATGATCTTAATGCTCTGGCAGGAACATACGATTTAAGGAGTTCCTTAAGGTAGCTCGGTGCTGTGTTGTTGGTAATTTTAAACGTAAGCAGCAGTATTTTAAATTGGATGCGGTATTTTATGGGTAGCCAATGCAGGTCAGCTAGAACAGGAGTGATACAGGCAAACTTCCCAGTTCTGGTCAGAATGGGTGCCGCAGCATTTTGGACTGTCTGCAGTCTATGAAGGAGGGCAGAATGAAGACCAAAATAAAGTGAGTTGCAGTAATCCAGCCTTGAGGTCACAAAGGCGTGGATGAGCTTTTCCAGTTTTCCAGTTCCCGTCAATAATGAGTTTATTAATTCGTAATTTGTAGTTGTTATGGCAAGTATTTTATCACAAACATGTTTTCACATACCCATTATCCACAGAGAAACAATTTCATTTTTACTCATTTTTATACTGAGCTGCTCTTTGACAGAGAGGTTGTCTTTTTCAATGACTGTTCACAAATGGCCCTTTTCACAGTATTCATCTGGCTTCCTTTTCTTGTTTCCTGCAGTGCTTTTGAAATCATTAAAGGCTACATTTCTTTACACTCAAACTCATCTTTTCATTTAGTATTTCAGGAAAGAAATTTAGCTTAACTGAGCCATAAAAATTATCTTTTCTTATCCTGATGAGTTCTCACAAACTGCTTTCTTGTTAAAGCAAATCCTTTAGACAACTGCAGTTTATTTAAAAGACTGTTCATATAACTAGTTGTTAATTGGAAATTGCACGTATACTCTTTTCTTGCAGCATTCAACAGACTTGTTGTTGTGTTTAGCTTCAGTTTTTTTGCACTATTGTGTTAAATGTAGTCTGTATAATGCGTTTTAAATGAGACTAAACACAGTAAACTTTTGAATAATTATTTCAATTCATTTTACAAAATAATCTTAAAGTTATTATTGTAAGTTGATGCTATTTGAAATCACGTTAATTTTAGTCATTTCAAAGGTGTGTATTCATATTTCTTGAATACTGTATCTGGCTCCTCTATAAATTGTCAAATTGTCTGTGTAGAGTCAGATAATAGTTCCTCAGGTGTTTGTTACTACCATAGACATCTTTTAAATAAATTATTTTGATGACTGTAGTAGTAATGTAATGATCAAGATGAAAGTCTTCACTTGAGACCACTTTGAAGCTGGCCTACCTGACGGAAGCGCTTGAGATGGAGGATCAGTATGTCTGGCAGAGTCCACAGGCTCATCTTCACCATACCCTGTTGAAGCTGCTTACAGTGGGGGCACTTCCAGGCATCATCTGGTGCAAGCTGGAATCAATATTTACATCAATTAGGTGCATAGTTACATAAATAAAGCAGGTGATATTAATCTATTTTTCATTTGCCTTTCCCAGATCAAAAATAAAAGCTTGCCTGATTAATTTAGTTTTGTCATAATGATGCCTGATTGCATGAAAGCTTTTTGAATTAAAGTCTTGTCCTTGTTCCACTTGAGGGTGGAACAATTTTCTCGCTTTCCTCGTCTTTGGTTTTTCATCTTCACAGAAGCACCTTAAGGTGCTTTGAAGTCACTGTATAGAGGATAAAATGACTGGATTTTGTATGGCACATTACTCATCTTATTGACCACTAAAAGTGCTCTACTCATTCACAAAGCTCTTCATATAATGCTACAAAATACCCCCCAAACACACACGCAGATGATAAATGATGAGCAATTTTGAGGTGCGTTTGACATGCAGACTAAAGGATCCATTGATTTAAAAAAAAGTACACCACCCCTCCAATTACCGATAAATCTATTCTACTGCCTAAGCCATGGTCACCTTAAATACACTTTCATTAGCTCAACATATTAAAATGCATCATCTTGGGATTTTTCTCTTCTTGCTTTATGGTTTAGAGGTCTGTGCTGCAGACTGGCAAATCTAAAGAATGGTAAAAGGTTCACTTGTTTGTGACTGACATCTCAAAGATTGCTTGGACAGGAAAAATGCCTTTAGCTGCATCAGCTCGTCATAGTACTCAGAGGAAAAATGGACAACTTCACAAAAATTATTATATAAATAATGCCCTTAGGCTAAAAAATGTCCTGTGCACACACGCTGTCAGTTAATCCTACTACAACTGTCTCATGGCTAGAAACCTAACATTTACAGTTGCTATGGTTACAGGCGGGTTTTGAAAGGCAGACAATAAGTCAGCGCTGCCCACTGAGACTTTGTGTTTTGTTTTCAAAAAAGCAGAGCCTCTCTCACAAAAGTGCAGTACAACATGTTTAGATTCTCTTCCATAAAGAAAAACTATGTTTCCCTTTCACACACTGTTGCCCTTTGAGCTGCAAGTCTGATTGTGGGTTACACTTGCTATAGCAATAAGTGACCAGATAAATATTACCTGCCAAGAAACTGCAAACGCTAATCAAATCTGGTACAATGTGTCAATTCTCTGGCTGGCTTTTGTGCAGGGTCCCTTACAAATAAATAAACAAATAAAGCTACTGTTGGAGTTAGGGGTGTGGTTTGTGGCTCGGCAGAAGGAGAAGATAAGGGGGAGGTGGTTCGGGTTCAGTGCTAGCTGAGGCTGTTACATGTAGTCCAATCGCTCTCCCCTATTCATGTAGTAGCACTCCTGAACCAGAGGGAGAGGAGTTTGGAGTGAGAGGAACAACTGCAGGCTTACGAAAAGATGCGATGAACACAACGGGGAGAGTCGAGGTGCACAAGAAACGAGCGCTATACAAACAAGTAATTAGCCATGGAAACAAATGTGTCTGCCTGTAGCGTCGGGACACACAGTGTATCTAACTTGTTACAACTACTTATTCTGTGAGCTCTCAAAGAGAGAAATTACTCTTGAATACCAGTGTCCACTGAGGCACATGCAGTACGATTGCTATGCTACTGTGTGTGTCAATGTACGACTACCTTTGTAAAGACTGGTTTTGGTTTTAGATCTTGGGAGGAAGGATTTTGAGAAAGTGGATAAGTTTTGACTATGACTTTGTGCTTTTTTTCTGAGAGCTTCAGAGGGTTGGAATTTGGCTTTAGGGCCAAGGTTTCAGTTCAGAATGAGATAATTATATAAGAGGATAATAAACTAAACCATAAAGGAGATTTCATCATGCACATCTTGCTGCTATGGTGGGAAAAATCTCTTCTGTGTTTCTTTAGAGTTTGTATAGATGATGTGCTGTTTACTATTGTTAGTACTGAGATTATACTGACATTTTGTTCTTGGGTACAAAGCACCATTATAATGTGTGTTGCCCCATAAACACAAGCAATGACAAGACATCTATATAACAATGGCCTGACTGCAGGACTGCCAAAAATTATTTTCAAGCTGCCAACTTGTCATAAACTTTGAGGAGTCAGACTTAAAGGGCAAAAACAAAAAGGATAAAAGGTTTTGTCTTTGGTGCTCAGTGACCAAGGCTGCAAGATTACAATATAAATTGTTATAATGTCACAGGACAAAACACAAATTGTCAGTTTCTAAGAAGAGCCTTTGCTGCTAAACCTTTGTTAATCTAAAACAAGCAGCAGTATAAAGTAAAAAAAACAAACAAACAAAAAAAGCCCCGAATAGCTTGATTTTCTTAAATTCAGAAAACACTTTCACTTTTCAAGAAATGCTCTGCAGACCTGTTAGGCCAGGCAGGCATTTTTGCCTGACTACAAGATGTGACAAGGTTTACTGCTCGTTAACATTTGTGATTTTCATTTCATTTATCACTCATCCTCATTAAGCTCAGGATTTTTCTGATCTTTTATTTGTGTCCAAGTTAACAAACAAGGACAGAGAAGGAGTGTGGTGTAATTTAAATGAATAATGTTCAATAATTTAAAAATGAATAAAACCTACAATAGACAAGTTTGAGCAACAGAATTGCTTGCATTTTGGGAATATAGTACCAACTCTGTTTATGGAGAAGTCTACCATTTTGGGTTCGTTCAGTGTTTTAGATCAATGAGACTCCCGTCTGCAGTTACAAAGCATTTCATGTTGCATTCAGGATGACCAGAAACTAATGGCTGAGCCCATAAACTAATCAGGAAAGTGTTTTCTGAGGTCACAGAGAAAGGACACGCTGTGGGCCATTTCTCTGTGGTCTTATATTCAACCTGAAGCTTTGACACAACCAGAGGAGGCGCCACCTGCTGGCTATTAGAAAGAATGCAGACTTAAGGTATTTTTTTTTAAATCTTTTTATTTAGACTTTACATGTACTGCTTAGTTCATAACACATTGTTTCAAAAAGCTGTGCTGAAGGTTAGCAAAATGTTTCTCCATTTTACCCTGACTTAGGTAAAATACATATAAAGAAAAACTCCCTAATTCCTGTTTGTATGAGTGGACTTTTGGACACAGCTGTAACAGTTTTTCCTGCATCATTATATTATGTGGGAATAGATGTAAGCTATAACATGTTGATAAGTGAACCGCACAAAAATTATTTACCAGCTGCCAGCTTGTTGTTATAGTCTTACAGATGCTGCTAGCACAGATTTTGTTTTCAGAGAAACTATTTGCAATCACTGTGCTTAGTAAGGTTATCCTTCTATATGCCTTCAGTTAATCCAAAATGCTGCAGCAAGAGTACTGAAGGGACTAGAAAGAGAGAGCATATTTCTCCCATATTGGCCTCCCTTCATTGGCTTCCTGTTAAATCCAGAATTGAATTCAAAGTCCTTTTCCTCACATACAAGGTCTTAAATAATAGAATAGAATAGAATAGCCTTTATTGTCATTGTACAGAGTACAACGAAATTGGAGTGCCACTCCCTTGGTGCAAGATTCAATAATAAATATAAATGTAAAATATAAAAAGTACAATAAAACAATCGCAAGTACTCAAACAATAGTAAGTACGATATATACAGGATAGCAGCATTAATCTAATGACAGTATGAATAGCAGCATAATATAATGGCAGTGACGGTATGGTATAGCTAAGCAGGTTCAATTGTATTTGTGCTTATTTACTACGGTGGTAGCTCTGGGAAAGAAGCTATCCCTGAATCTGTTTGTCCTGGTTTTATGTGACCTGTACCGTCGGCCTGACGGTAATAGTTCAAGCAGTTGATTGCTGGGGTGAGAGTGGTCCTTGATGATATTGCCAGCTCTGCTGAGGTACCGAGAGTTTGCAGTGACCTCCAGGCTGGGCAGAGAGCAGCCAGTGATCTTCTGGGCTGTGTTGATGACCCTCTGCAGTACTTTCCTGTCTGCAGCTGAGCACCCTGCATACCATGTTGTTATGCCGTACGTTAGGATGCTCTCTATGGTGGCTCTGTAAAATGTCACCAGCAGCCTCTCCTCCAGGTTGTTCCTCCTGAGCACTCTCAGAAAGTGGAGACGCTGCTGGGCCTTTTTTACCACCGACGTGGTATTTGCAGTCCAGGAGAGGTCATCAGAGATCTGCACGCCCAGAGTGTACCCTCTCCACACAGTTCCCGTGAATGTAAAGTGGGGCCGGGTCTGCTCTGCCCTTCCTGAAGTCCAAGATAAGTTCTTTAGTTTTCGTGGTGTTCAGTTGGAGGTTGTTAACTGAACACCACTCAGTCAGTCTGTTGACCTCATCTCTGTAGTCCGACTTATCACCCCTTGAGATGAGTCCAACCATCCACGAACTTTATGATGGTGTTTGAGAGATGGGTAGGGGAGCAGTTGGATGTGTAGAGCGTAAACAGGAGGGGACTCAAAACACATCCTTGTGGAGACCCGGTGCTGAGTGTGATGGTGCTGGACAGGTGGGGGCCGAGTCTGACAGACTGTGGTCTATTTGTCAGGAAGTCCTTGATCCAGAGGCAGATGGGGGTGGAGAGTCCCAGGTGAGACAGTTTCTGGACCAGGATCTCTGGGATGATATGATTGAATGCTGAGCTAAAGTCCAGAAAGAGCATTCTCACATAGCTTCCTCGGTGCTCCAGGTGACTCAGCGCAGTGTGGAGCGCTATGGTGATAGCGTCCTTGGTGGATCGATTTGTTCTGTAGGCAAATTGGTGGGGGTCCAGAGTGGGAGGCAGACCGGCCCTGATGTGCTGACAGGCCAGTCTCTCAAAGCACTTCATCACTACAGGCGTAAGTGCAACAGGCCTGTAGTCATTTGGGCTGGCCACAGGCCCCATCTTATCTTAATGATCTTATAGTACCATACGACCCCATTAGAGCACTTTGCTCTTACACTGCAGGCTTACTTGTTGTTCCTAGAGTATTAAAAAGTAGAATGTGAGGGAGAGCCTTCAGTGGAACCAGCTTCCAGTCACCGTTCTCACTCACTATGTGTTAATAGACCTCTCTGCACT